TTTCCTTTCAACGAATAACCTCTTTCAGATATGGTTCAAGGTAGAATTTATCCTAAAAATTAAATAAAATAATATTAATGCTACCATTACATACTAATATATCCTACTTAATAGGCCTTAAACAATAAAAAACCAAATCCATTACTTTATTTTCAATTTAAGAAAATATATTCTAACCAGACTAAGTCCTATCTGCTTTTTAAAATGTAAAAACCCACAAAAATATTGTAATAAGTTGCTCTGTTAGGTTATAAGACAGAATTCTGTTGGGGAAGAAAAAGAAATGAGTGTCTACAGGCTTCTGCCCAGTTTCAACACAGTTCAAGGGGTGAGTGCTTCACAAAGTCCTTCCTGGGATCTAGAGGGCCACTCAATAGGCTGATCTTTTCTCTGAACAGAATGCAGAGTGCAGAAAGAGGCAGAAGACCTGGATTTCTAGTCCTGGGTCTCTATATTAGAAGACTTGCTTAGCGATTTTCAAAGAGTCATTTTACCTCTAAGTCTTAACATGTTTTTCTTTAAAATGGAGACACTTGCTCTTGAAAGGATACTTAACACAACTTTGAGAACTCTAAAACACTACACAAAAGAATGTGTTTTGCTTGTTTCTAATAATCTCTAATGACCACCACTGTCAGATACACAAAGCTGTTCTACCTCTTCATATTTTGTCCACTGTCTTTGGCAGGATCTGCTGCCTCATGGACAGGTCCAATGCTCTCTTAATGCGAAACATCCTGTCATATAAAGGTTCTCAGGAAGCCCTTCTTATGGCTTCTTTTACGTCTTCATCCTCATGTATTGTATCATCTCGCATTAACCCTATGATAGAAAACAAAAGAATAAGATTGAACATGCAGCTGAATATGCATCTCAAAAACCAATTTTCTTTTTAAATGAGTAAATATCTTTATGACTTATAACTTAAGACTTGGGTGAAGTACCAAGAGTTCAAATCACTAGATGTGATAGAAACTCAATGCACTTCATACATATAATGGGTTATTTCTTGAACTGTACTATGGAAACAACATATGGGCCTCTTAAAATCCACTGCCACAAAATTCACATTTATCTTAGTCAATTTTAAAAATATAAAATGTTTGCTTTGTTTTTAAATACACATCAATAAAAAGCATTTCTACTTTCTCATACTTTAAATCTGAGATCAAGGTATTATGGAATCTTAAAATGATAGTGTATAGGGCCACGAGTGGTAGCTCTTGCCTACAATCTCAGCACTGTGTGAGGGCGAGGCAGGAGGATCACTTGAAGCCAGGAGTTCAAGACCAGCCTGAGCAACATAGCAAGACACTGTCTCTACAAAAAATTAAAAATCAGCTGGGTGTGGCGGTGCTTGCCTGCAGGTCTAGCTACTCAGGAGGCTGAGGTGGGAAGACTGCTTGGACACAGGAGAAAAAATATTTGACCTTTGCTCTGGAGGGCAATTTAGTGCTTATTCTTTTTGCTGTCAGTAAACTGCTCCCACATCTTCCAAGGAGGGACAGCGAAGTCCACTTCTTGATAGTTGAATATTTAACATCATTTAAATAGTGGCAAAACAGCAATGGCTTGCTATGCCGGCAAGCTTATTTGGGAGTGTTCTGCCAGCAAGTTCAACCCAAAATATTGTATAGATGATAAGAATTCACAATGTATATTAAAGAGTGAGAGATTTCCCAGATAGGAGTTGGAATAGTGCTTTCCAGAAAGATGCATGCTATTAAGAGAAGGTGAAGAAATGAAGAGAAAGAGAACTGAAGAATCATTAAATACCTTAGTCATGAAAAAATAAAGAGAAACAGGGCATTCCAGTTGAGAGAGGTTTGGGAAATACATGTTTGGGATTACACTATGGTGGTGATCCTTAACCCTAGCATCCAGATGATTCTTATGTCTTTGTTTGTTTGTATACTGAATCAGAATCTCAAGGGTGGAGCCTAGGTGTGTGTATTGTGGAAAATGTCCCCCCTACATTAAGAAAAAAAATTATACTGCATACATATTTTTTCTTCTTGATTTTCTCCTTATATCACTATTGAACTTTTCCAATTTCATTAATTTTTTTTGGAAACATGTTCTGATTATAAAAACTCTTTAAAATTTGGAAAATATGAAAAAGCACACATAAAAAGTTAAAACTATCTCTAATTCCTTTATTCAGAAATATCCTTTTAGTCCAGGTAGTCTAAATCTAGTCCCCCTAAACAGATTTGAAAAGATCTATGCCCTAAATCTCTGAAAATTTATGGAAAATTACTGTTAAGCTTTGTTTTCCAAGTACCTATGTAGTTTTTTATAGTTTTTTTTAGTATTATATGTTTTGTTTTAAAACTGTTTTTTTTTCAATTAACAAGAATGATGTAAAAAAAGAAAAGAAACAAGAAAAAAAGAATTCATGCATGCTTTCCCATATTCTTAAGTACCCTTTGAGAATATCACTTTTTTAGGGTGAATAATATTCTATCAGCTATTTCCCCCACTGTTGGACAATAATGTTATTTACGTTTATTACTATAAATATTGCTGTAATAAACATCCTTGTACATACATCTCTGCATTTTTATATACACCTTTCCCCCCCCTACATTCTAAGATGTAGAATCACTCATTGGATTCAATGGTGTATGTCTTTTTAAAGACTCTTTGCCTCTATTGCCAAATTGCTTTTGAGTTAGTTCTTCTCAATCTGCACACCAACCAGGAGTATATTAAAGTCAAATGAGTCTAGGTTTTTGTTTGTATGCTTTTAAAATATATTGTGATTTGATTTCTTTTGTATTTGATTTCTTTTTAGATCCCTTGTATTTAGGAAAGCTTTCTTGGAAAGTGACAACTTGATAAAGGACCCAGGTGTTCTTAAAAGAGGTACCTAAAGAAGGACAAAAAAACTCACCTGAGTTACTTTAATATCCTTCACCCTCTGCTCAGGTATCTCCTCCTCCAGGAGGGCTTCCCTGCTGATCAGCTCCTTCCTGCAGTATATACGTGTTAAATGCACCCACTTCATAGCCCCAGCATCTGAATATGCCCCTGGCGGGCCGGTGGCGGGAAGGAATCCTCCATAGCCTGAGTCCAGGTGAAAGGCAAACACTTGCCTCCTGCTAACAGAGCCTCAGGAGCCTGTGCCTTCTCCTGGCAGCTAGCACAGGACGCCCGAGCCAGGCCTCACTGACTGGGTGTTCAGCTCGAGACTTCTGTCTTGCAGGAATCACACAGGCACAACGCCAGCTGCGAAGTGAGCCAGGGCAGCTGCTGTGGCCAGTGCAGAGCTTCAGGTCCTGGGCTGGAGCTCAGCTGTGTGTGCTCGAGGCCATACATCCGTCTCTGGGATTTTTCTCTCTTGCCTTCTGGCTGAATAACAGCCTCCCCAAAGATGTTTCCATCCTCCTCCCCGGAACCTGTGCATATGTTACCTTACATGCCAAAAGGGACTTTGCAGATGTGATTCAGTTAAGGACCTTGAGCTGGGGACATTATCCCAAATTACCCAGGTGGGCCCAATGTAATCCCAAGAGCTTTTGTAAGAGGGAGGCAGGAAGGAGAAGGCCATGGACCAATGGAAATAGAGATCGGAGCGAGGTGGCCCCGTACCAGGGAATGCTGAAGGCCTCTAAAAGCTGGAAGAGGCAAAAACATTCTCCCACAGCCCTGATGACACATTGATTTTTAGCTCCCTAAGACTTATTTTGGATTTCTGACATCCAGAGCTGTAAGATAATAAATTCATGTTGTTTTAAGCTATTAAGTCTGTGTTAATTTGTTACAACAATAGGAAATGAATATACCTTCCCATTGATTCCATGATATTCTCCCAGTACAGATTTCCACTTAATTCAGCCACGGTCTATTTCAGTTGCTTATTACTCACTGATCGTCACCCACCTCTAGCCTCTACCTCAGTGTTTGTCGGGCGCCCATCCTCTGAGCTCCCGCATCAATTCCCTGCTTCCCAAGAAGTCTTTCTCACTCCCAGTCGTGATTCTCTGCTTACTGAGCTATCTTCCCCTCCAGACTACACACAGTAAGGACAAGGACGGAATGTGGTCCGTCTTTGGACCCCAGCACTTAACACAAGGTATGAATAAAAGTGAGTTGGATGAACAAATTAAAAACTTATCTGTATACACACATGTGCAAAAAAAGAAGAAAATGACTTAAGGAAAAAACTTTTGAGTAGATAAACATTCACACTAGGCTTCTTTTCTTTAGACAATGGAAATGATAAATCATATATTTATCTAAAAGGAAAATTCTGTTCTGATTTATGATAGAATTTTTTAGAAAGCTGACTAAATATACAATATGTTAGCTAAATAACTTGGCTAGAACTGAAAGCAGAGTAAATGTAATCAATTTATGATATTATTAAAATCTAAGGGGAAATGAAATGTCTGTTTCAGTAACACTGGGTGTGCCTGTGTTTCTCACACTTCAGTGTTATTGTAGGACACTCGGGTGGCTGGTTTCAAAATCTTGATGGTCTGCTAAACCTGGCTTTATCCAGGCTGATGTGGAACACGCATTTGAGACACTTGAGCCTAAGAGATCTCTCTCCCTTGCATGACAGGGAGTCTTAAATGATTTTCT